GCTCTTTTTGAAGGTGATAACAAGAAAATGATGGACATTCTAAATTCCAAAACATTGAACTTTGGTATGTACAATTGGGTTTGGGAAGCAAGATGGTGGAGCAAAAGTTTCCAAGAAGTGGAATTCCAATGGATCAGACGAGGTGGTAATGGTATAGCAAATAAACTAGCCTCGTTGGAAATTCCTAGACAAGTTTCTTTTATGTCATACTAGTTGCATACCCCCCACGCAAGCGCGGGGTGGGATCATTGATTTTTACTTGTTGATTTAGTGGGTTATTCTAATAATATCAAATAATGATGAAATAGAAAGAATGTATCAAGAGTGTAAAGTGAAATATTGTATATATAATGTGTTAAATGTTATTTATATGAGAAGTAAGTTTTATAGGGATAACTAAATTATAATATAGTTTCAAGTATATAAAAATAGGTGTCTATCTTCTTCTTTTTTTATGTTGGAAATAGTTTTTATATAGGAGATTAAAACTTGATATAATTATTTATTTATAGTATTTATATTTGTACTAAACGATTTATCAATTTGAAAATAACTTTAATTTAAGCTAATATTTGTTGTTTGGGTTTTAATAGATAGGTTAGGATATGTTTTTTTTGTAAGTTTGGATTTTTTTCATGAATAATGTGGCATTTTTATTTATGACGTCATCGACTGTGGAAATACATTCGCCGGAGTCTGTTAAAAATGAAATTATAGTAGCTATTAAAAATTGAAAAGAAATTACATAGTTATTTTATAAATAACAAAAAATACATAAATTTTGTTGTTTTTATTTTATTTCACATACATAATTTTTTGAAAATATATATTAGGAAATAGGGGGTTTTGCAAAATTGACTCAAAACTCATAGTCAATTTTTGTGCAATATCTTCTTGAAGTTTTGAAGTATTTGCCCCTTGAGACACCACAAAAAACTCATAGTCAATTTTTGTGCAATATCCATATCACAATGTCAAACTTTCCAGCAAACTTATTGTGGATTTTCTTGAAAAGGGTAGTTTTCCCTACGCCTCCCATTCCGTGCAATCCCATGATACCGACATCCATAAGTCGATTCCATGCCTCCTCAAACATTTCCTCCTGACCAACCGTATGCCAAATTGACCTCTCCATGACTTCAGGTCTTGGAGTCAACTCTGCAACCTCCTCAAAATTAGCCTCTGATTTGAGCTTTTTAACATCTTCCAACAACAGGAATACGCGTTTCCCATATTTGTATGTCAAAAACACATTCTTTGAGCATAAACCACAGAAGCAGAGCTTTTGACGTTGAGTGATATTAGTACTAACCACATCTTTGATCTTTGTATCGATGCTCTCGACACGAGTAAGCCATAACTTGACTGATTCAAGTGTTTGTCGCTGTTGTGTCTCCTCTCGTGCAACCCTGTTCTTCACCTATTGTTGTATTGCTTTGAGATCGTCCCTTTCTCTCTGCAGATCCATGAGATTCACCTCGAGGTTGCTAACTTAACCTCTACCAAATAAGAATGTTGAGATCCGATTCAACGTTTGATCACAAGATATTTGAAGCGAAGCCATGGTTTAAAGATCGAAAAAAACTTAGTGAAGTGCTTTAAGTAATAATAAAGATAGAATCTTTTACGAACAAAGTGATTCTCAAGATGCATTAACAATGTGTGTGCGTGTTTTTTTTTTGTATATACCTTATACTGGAGGCGAGTAACCTAATAGAATATACTGAGAATATTCTTCTCTTGTTTCTCTTGTTCTTTTTGGTAACTAATTATATAAATACATTTTTATTTCGAAGAAATTTATATAAATATATAGCTGTTAAGACTTTGGATTTACTCTTCCATGATAAATGAAGCTGGTGAACGTACCTACCTAACTTAAGACATTAAAATCTCAGTAAAATATGCAGATCCTAATCTTACATTTAAAAATATAAATAAATTCATATACATTCAGGTTAGATTCCAAATAAAATACACATCTCTGCATTATTGATTGTTAACCTTTTTATGTTTTCTTGAGGAACTTCTTAACAAGAAAGAGGATTATTAATTCTAACTTTGGCCACTTTCAACATAGCATAACTTCACTTCATCCATTACCAATTGCGACAGATGCATTCATCCAATAACACACATAACCATGAAGCATACCGCACGCAAAATCAAAGATCAAGCCTCGGTAATCTATATTTCCAATATCAGATTTCAAAATCAAGAAAATAGAATTTGACAAGAGTAAAAGGATCCTTTATTTATAAAAATTCAAAACACATGCA